AGGAAAGGTGAGAACAGGGAGAGGGCCCAGGTGGCTTTGGAGAGGTGGTGGTGGGAGCTGAAGCTCTGTTAGATGCTGTAGGGCCCACGTGGAAGCGTGTCACCATGTGTCTGCCCCAGCCATGGGTGACTGTTCTTATGCTGTGACCCGACTCAGCTCCTTCACTGGGAGCTGGTGTCTTTGTGCAATGAAGAAGGAAGGAAGTATTTCAAGTAAGGTGAAGTCATTACACAGGGCTTGTTTCCATGAGGAAGCAATGTGGAATCTGTGCTCAGGTCTGGGTGCTCCATGTGGAAGAGCACTAGCAGTTCAAAGGCTTCTCCACCCAGTTCTCCAGCATCTCCCCTCGTGAAGGATGCTGAGTGTGAGTGTGACCTGGCTTTGTGGGTTGCTGGTTTCAGAGCACCTGGCTGGGGGTGTTACTGTCTGTACCAAACCCACCCATCCAAAATCAAGCTGGAAGGTGGCTGGGCTGGGCTCTGCCTGCACTGTGGGGCTGTGCTGGCCATGGCCTTGCTCAGGCTCTGTTCTTTCTCTCCACATCCAGATGTGTCAAGTGTGTAAATAAGTACTCGACCCCGGAGGCGCTGGAGCACCATCTGCAGACAGCGACACACAACTTCCCCTGCCCTCACTGCCAGAAGGTGGGTGACGCTGCCTGGGCCAGGCCTGGACATGTCATGAGGGCTCTGAGGGCACCCTCTGCTCCCTTTCCTCTCCCTTCCTACCTCAGTACCGACTGGCAGGCTCATGGGGGGCTTTTCAGAGAGGCAGAGGTGATGGCACTGCTCACCGCCAGCTCTCTGGCCTCTCACACAGTACGTTCCTCCCCACAGTGCTGGCTTTTCTCCTGGTCCCATTTGCTGAACAGAATCTGTCAGGGTTCCCCCTCATTCCTCTCTTTTGGATGTGTGCTCTGTGTCCTTGCCAAAGAGAAACCTGTTCGAGTGATGTGACTGGGACCACACTGACGCCCGGGTAGGTTTGGGCTGAAAACCCTCTCTTCAGCACAAGTTTGAGGGGCAGAATTTTGTGGGGTTTAAATTCTAATAAATTATTTTTTGAAATCCGGACTAAAATGTGGCCCTTTGCTCCTCTGTTTGTAGCAAAGGAACTGCACATCCTGCAGGGGGGGCAGGGACAGTGTCAGAGGAGTGACCACTCTGTACTGAGGTAGCTCAGGAAGGGGAGACGCGCTCCTGCCATGGTCAGAACCCATCCTGCTGTACCTGTCTTCTCTCCACTTCCCCCACCAGTGACAGATGCCCTTCTGAGCCTGGTGGCACTTCGAGCATGCAGCATGGGAGTCTGAAAGCCCGTTACCTGCAGCAGTATTTGTTACTTCTGTTTGTATTCTTACTAATACTGCTGTTTTCTGGAGATGTGAGAGCACAGAACCCCTGTGCTCCCTTCAGCCATGTGCCTGAAGCGTGCTCATGAGGCGTTCACTCAGCTTGGGTTTGCAGTGTCCCATTAGCCAAAGGAACTGTTCACGCTGGCTTTACAAAGAACAGGAGCCTTTGCTAACAGATTCTTGGGAAGCAGAAACTGAAGTTCACACTGTGGGAAGGTGATAACTCCTGGGGGTCCTTGCCCTGCTGCTGGCTTTGCTGGGAGACTGGGCATCCGTTGGGGTGCTGGTCCTCTGCAGTATGGTGTTACAAAACTGAGCAGCAGCTCCTAAGAATAAGAAGGTTTGGGTTTTTTGTTGTGTTTTGTTTAGTTTCTTCTCTTTTGTTAAGCTCTATCTGTATATTCCCTTACAGAAACCTGAAGGTTTTCTCAGTGCATCCTTCCTGAGCAAGGAGTTACCATGAGCTTCTTATGCTTTCTATACAGGCAACACCTTGTGCAGGGGCAGTGATGCCTCGTGTGTGCTGCTGGCTCTTAGCCCTGGTTTGGGTGCTCTGACGCCCCTGGTGCTGGCTCTGAGCCTGCTCTGTGTGTTGTAGGTGTTCCCCTGCGAGAGGTACCTGCGGCGCCACATCCCCACGCACGGCGGCGGCAGCAAGTTCAAGTGCCAGATCTGTAAGAAGTTCTTCCGCCGGGAGCACTACCTCAAGCTGCACGCACACATCCACTCGGGTACGGGGACCTGTCCTGCCCGTCGTGGGGTGGAACTGGATGGGCTTTAAGGTCCCTTCCAACCTAAACTGTTCTATGGGCTCCCCTGGCACCGCCGTGCCTGTTGTCTCTGTGTCATGGTCCTTCCTGCCCTGGCTGTTTTCCTGGTACCCAGAGTAACAGTTGACTGTACGGGGTCATTTGTGGCAACATGGATTCAGGAGATGTCTTTGGTTTAGCCTCATGCCCAGTGCTGCACCACTTAGAAGTGGGACACAGAGGTTCTCGGTTGCCTGTGGTTGCAGAAGCTGGCTCTGGAGAGCAGGAGTGGTGTGGACTGTATCCATCCACTTACCCATCAGGAAGGATAGGGAAGTTTGGAGAAGTCTGTGGAGAAGCAGAGTGTCCAAGCTCTGTGTGACCAGACTCTCCCTGACTCTTGCTCTCTTTTCATCCAGGTGAAAAGCCCTTTAAGTGCTCAGTGTGTGACGCAGCTTTCAACCGGAAAGACAAACTCAAGCGACACATGTTGATCCATGAGCCTTTCAAGAAATACAAATGTCCCTTCTCGTACGTAGTGTATCTCCAGGGTGGTGGCATGTCTTAATGGGGCTGGGATGCACGTCTTAATGGGGTTGGGATGGAAGAAATGTCTCCTGCAGGTACTCTAGGGTACATGTGTGCCATCTACCAATCCACTGCTGCTTGGGGAGGTGGGAATGCTGTGTGCTGTTAAACTGGGAACCCAGAAGTCCCAGTCTTTTGCCATTGACTTCCTGTGGGGTCACATTATTTTGTCTCAGTTCATAAGCCCTGTTAAATAAAGCCTGCCTTCACTGGAGGAGTGTGGGTTACACCTGGGGGGCACTGGAGTGTTTAACCACAAAGCAAAGGGTTGCCCAAATGGTGGGCTCTCCCTGACTGCCACATCTTGAAAAGCACTTGGCAACATAGGAGCTAATGTATGAGCCAGAGAAACCCAGGTTTAGGAGGTGCATCCCCAAATCCATGGCAGAGCCATGGGCCTCCTGAGGTAGCCAAGACAGGCTGCCTTCTCCCTGCTCCAGCCACCTTGTGGCTCCTTCCAAAATACTCCAGTTGGGATCTTGAGCTGGCTGTTTTTAGATGCATTCACAGTGAGACACAGACCGTGTGTAGTACAGCCAAAGCCACATGTCCCTGTAGCAGCCTGTTTATTTCTTGTCCCTCTCCAGAAGGGCTGAAATAGTGGAGCTTCTACGAAGACTGCACCAAGGGACCCATCTTTATGGTACAGGATGTGTTTATACATTGATCTCAGTGGCTTCATGCTGCTCACCAGCATTTCTTGTTGTTACAGAAGCCACACGGGCTGCAATAAGGAGTTCAACAGGCCTGACAAGCTGAAGGCTCACATACTGTCCCATTCGGGTAAGTGCAGCTCTGCCAGTGGTTGGCAAGGAAGTGACTGGGATTCACTGGTGCTGCAGGAGCGTGTTACAGGAGCAAACCTGAGCAACAAGAGAGAGCAAACCGTGGAAGTGCCTCTGCTTTGTAACCCCAGAAGCACAGGATGTTTCTGAGAGGTGTTTTCCCTGCAGTGGCCCTGTACCACTGCTCAGCCAACGCAGCTACTGTGTAGCTTCCTCTGTGAGGATTCCCACTGCCTGTGGTACAGTGTTCCCAGGTACAGGCCTAAATGCTGGATAGAATTTACTAGCTTTAGGTTTTTGCTCTCTGTTGCTGCAAGGCTGTGTAAGTGAGCTTGCATTTAGAGCTGTGTCTCAGCTTTGGGCTCTTTTCTAAGGCAGTATAAACCTGTAGGCAGGGCCTGCTGTGAGGCTCAAAAGCAGAGCTGGATTACTTGGTGTGTTTGCTACCAAAGGAGTATGCAGAGTGCTCTGTCCACTCCTCCCCCCAAACCATCCGACATTCAAAAGGAGATCTCATGGGATTTAGTTCCCTTCCCATCCCCAAAATGATGCTCCCACTCCTAATAAAGACATGATTTATTCCCATGCCCCAGGGAACCTTCAGACTTGTCTCTCGGGGTAAAACTGAAAGTCTTTTCTTATGCCTGTCATGTCCGAAGCCCTGCAGAGTGTGATCAGCTGGGTCTGTGCTGACTGTGCAGTGGGTGGTTTGTTTCAGACTGTCCATTCCCATACTTGGGAGGAAAAAGAAAGTGAAATGTCTTTACTTGGCAAATACACTTGGAAAAAATCAGAGTTTTACATTTTCATCATAATTACCTGACATTCTTTCCTGGTGGTATTTTAATCCTCTCATTTAAGGCAAGAACTATGGTTTTAGCTTGTAAACAGAGACATCCAAGGTGTCCACTCGCCCTTTTCTGACTGCAGATTTGCTTGGCACAACGTGTTCTTCTTTTTATCTGGGAGCATCTCCTTGGAAGAGGAGATGAAGCTGTCACAGAATCCCAGAATCCCAGACTGGTTTGGGTTAGAAAGGACCTTAAGATCATCCAGCTCCAACCCCCTGCCGTGGGCAGGGACACCTCCCACTAGAGCAGGTTGCTCCAAGCCCCTGTGTCCAACCTGGCCTTTGGGTCCACCTTGCCCTTGAACACTGCCAGGGATGGGGCAGCCACAGCTTCTCTGGGCACCCTGTGCCAGTGCCTCAGCACCCTCACAGGGAAGAACTTAACCTAAATCTCCCGTTTCAGTTTGAACCCATCACCCCTTGTCCTATCACTCCAGTCCCTGATGAAGAGTCCCTCTTCAGCATCCTTGTAGCCCCCTTCAGACACTGGAAGCTGCTCTGAGGTCTCCACGCAGCTTCTCTGCTCCAGGCTGAAGAGCCCCAATATTCTCAGCCTGTCTCCTATGGGAAGGGGCAGGTTTCCCTGGTGGATGCAGGTCTCTAACCAAGCTCTCTCTCCTCCCATGCTCTGTGCAGGGATGAAGATCCACAAGTGCCAGTACTGCAACAAGTCCTTCAGCCGCCGAGCCCACATGATGGAGCATCAGCGCTCACACACCGGCAACTACAAATACCGCTGCCCCACGTGCAGCAAGGGCTTCACGCGCCACAAGTACATGAAGGACCACAAGTGCCGCCTGGGCTCCCCCAAGGACAAGGACCTGCAGCTCAGGAAGCCCCAAAAGAAGCGGGTGCCCCGGGGGCGCAAGGCAGGCCTATCCCTCCCCACCCCGCTGGGGCTGGCAGAGCTGAAGGACGGGGCTGCTGGGGAAAGCCTCCCTGAGGGTGGCCCGAACAAAGAACCCTTCCAGGAGTCAGACGCTGTCCTGTCCATCGTGGTTGGGGGGTCAGGAGCTGCTGACTCAGACCTGGTTGTTCCTGGGCAGCCCAACAGCATCACGTCCAATTTGGCCCTAGCAGAACTGCAGGCTGCCTCGGACGGCCCCTGCACCATGCTGGCTGTCCCTGTGTACATCCAGACAACAGAGTGACAGTGCACAGAGCCACTGTGTGGCTGAGGGCTGCTGCTGGGGCTGTCACACTTGGTGCTGAAATTTATCCTGGTGAAAAAGACCAAAGCTCTTGTGGGGAGGTAGATGGGCACGGGAGAGAACAGCTTTCCTCTCCACTTGTTCTTCCCATCCTTGGGTAGAGGGCTGCTTGGAAGCCACCGATGGCTACAAGGCACTGAAGAGAATGGCTCCATTATTTCTTGTCCATCTGCGTCAGCTTAGGGCAAGAAAGACCAAGATCCCTGAATCAGGGTAAGAAGGAGCATGCAAATGTGCACCAAACAGAGCTGCTGAAATGGGGCGGCTTTGCAAATCACAGCCTGTCCCATCTGTGGTTTTTCTGGCCTAAAAGTTGTATTGCCCAGTATTTGGGTGGCCTTTCCGAGAGCAAACTATTGATCCTTCCTAATGGAAGCAAGTTCATCTTGAGATCCTTTGGGAACACTGTTCAGAAATACCCTGACAGACTTATCTCTGGTATCTTTCACCTCTCTGTCTCTTATCAGTAGAAAGATGACCTTGTCTGTACATGTGTTATAAACACCATGGACCTCCCGTGCTGTGTGGAGTTGGTGGGTGGGAGCATGCTCCTGTGTTGCCTCTTCTCTCTGGCTGGTAATTCTCTCCAGGGTGTGTTCTTTTTGTGGTTCTTCTCCATATCCAAGGATCTCAAAGTGCTTTTAGACATCCATGAGTCAGTCCTTATAGTGACAGTTAAATGTGACTCCTTCTGGGTATGGGGACGAGATTAAGGCCTGGGTGAAGTGACCTGTCCTGGTCATGCAGAAACCTGTGGAGCACCATGAGGCAATTTTCCAGCATCAGCTCCTGTGCTGCAAGGTTCTGCCTCCCAGCCTGTGTGTTCCCTCAGCTCAGTTCCATGGGCCAGTTGCTCCAGTGGGTCACGGGCAGGTGGGACTCGGTCAGGTAGCAAGAAACTCCAGTGTGAGAAGAGAAGGCTCCTGAAGGGGACACGTTAGAGCAGCTCCAGTGCCTAAAGGGGCTCCAGGAAACCCAGAGAGGGGCTTTGGACAAGGGCCTGGAGGGACAGGACAAGGGGAATGGCTTGAACCTGCCAGAGGGGAGATTGAGATGAGCTCTTGGGCAGAAGCTCTTCCCTGTGAGGGTGCTGAGGCGCTGGCACAGGGTGCCCAGAGAAGCTGTGGCTGCCCCATCCCTGGCAGTGTTCAAGGCCAGGTTGGACACAGGGGCTTGGAGCAACCTGCTCTAGTGGAAGGTGTCCCTGCCCATGGCAGGGGGTTGGAGCTGGAGGAGCTTTAATGTCCCTTCAACACAAACCAGTCTAGGATTGTACAATTCTGTGACTGGGACAATTTCTGGTGTCCATTTGGCTTCTGTCTGATTTCCCAGGCAGGATTCCCAAGGCCAGCACGGGGGCAGGGCTGGAGGCCAGGGCAGGCAGGAGAGCACCAAGCGTGCTGCTCCCTTCTCCACTGCCCTGCCCGGCTCCTTCCTTCCTGTAGCACACTCAGCCTCTGGCTTTGTGCTGCCACTGGTTGCCTTACGTCACCCCAGAGACTCACAAGGTTCCTACCAGGACAGGTCCCACAGCCTTTGCTCACTCACTTCCCAACTCCCTTTTTGCCCATTTCACTTATTTGTGATGCTTCTGTACCTCCTGCTGTTGGTGGGGGTTAGGAAATGGAGCACAGGGCTTAGAGGGGGAGGCTAGAGAAGGGGGTTGTTCAGGCTTTAGAAGAGGTTAGTAGAGGTCTTGCTGCTGCCTGGCAGGAGGGGTGGAGAAGGTGGGGCTGGACAATTGGAGGTGCACTGGGATGGGACAAGAGGCAACAGGGACATGTTGGAACGTGGCAGCTGCTGACACGATACAAAGGAAAGACATTTCTACACAGAGAGGCTGTGAGAGCTCAGAACCGTCCTGCTCTGAGTGGAGGTGGCTGGGCTGGAGGCCTCCAGATGGCCCTTCCTGCTTAGAGTTCCTGTGCTTCTGTGAAGCATCTTTGAAGGGCAGAGTTCACCTGCCCACAGTGTAATGTATTTTAAGTACTCAGCTCTCCCAGGAGGGGAACAGGATCAGGAAATCATTTGCTAAATATACTTTTCCTCTTTACCCTCCTCTGTACCTGCACCACACGGTGTCGTTATGTGGGCTCCAGTGCTCGCTGCAGCGCGGTGCTTGGGTCTGTTTTGAGATGATGATGTGCTGTGTGCTCGGAGGCTCTGATGGAGGCCTGGCCTTTCCTTCCTGAGCCCTGCTTCCCACCAGGTCTGCGCATGGGCCAGTCTAAGGACGATTCTGGGAGCTGGTTTCCACTGGCTGTGCTGAGTGTTAACACAAGGAGTGGAAGCAGAGGCACAGAACAGCCTC